GAAAAGGATAACATGGCTTCGAATTAGTTCACTTACTTTCAACTTTTGGGAATAGGATGGGACAAATGTGGTTTTCTGCTATTAGCTGTTTTTTTCGTTATGATTTCATTGTTTGAAAATCGTTTCTATCGCTTATAAGGATTTTCTGTTTTTCTTTCACATTTTGTTTGTCTTATTTTATGGAGATTGGTTTGTTAAATGTCCTGGTTCAGACGCATACACTGCATGTTGTTTTCAACTTGTCGGCACGTTGGCGCTCAACCATAAGCGGCTTCGCGGCAATAAAACACTAGTTGCTGCTGTCATTGCTGGGTCGTAACAAGAATCAGTTTATACCATTTAATTGTGTGTTGTATTTTTTTCGTATGCGAAAACACATTACATTCGCAAAGCCAAAGCACTGTGTGCATGTGTGGATTGTACATGTGTGAGAGAGATAGAGATAGAGATACAGGGCGAATGAGCAAGAAACCATGCCGTTTGTCAAAACGCAAATCTCTCTAATAAGCTACTTGGGATCGTGTACTGTGCTCTAGCTGATGAAGTAAGAAAAAGCGGACACGCACATGAACCGTTGGTGTCACGAACAACAAACGAGAATTATTACATTATTACATACACATTCAAAAATACAGTTTTCATTTCACCCAGCCGGCCAGCGAACCAACCAGCCTACCGACCATTTATTTCGTTCTCAACATTAATTTCGAGAACTTTTTTTCCCCGCTGATTCCATGTAATGTACAGAGTGTCTCGCCGTGAATAATCTTCGCTCTCATTTGACTGTCAATTTACAATTTTCGAATAGTTGAAGTTGTGACATTCTTTGATCTGGTTCGTTTATACTTGTGCATATTCCTCGTTGTATTCGGTCCTAGCCGTCGCAGTCGTTGTTATTCGAACCGTTCTTAATATCTGTCGAAAAGGTTTTAAATTCGTTATCTGCTACTGCTTGGTTGTGTCATCGCTAGAAGAACGCGTTATGCGCGCGTTTTGTCATTTTTTAAAAAAATATTTTCTTCATTTGTGGCATTTTATGATCTTCGCGCGATTGAAACAGAAACAACAACAACAAAACGACAAAACACAACCAGAAAAAGTGAAGCCACAGAATGATATATACGTACGCGTATTTTGTACTCGGTCGTCGTGTTTTTTTTTTTATGACGAACGACATCGCATTATCTCTCACTCTTTGGTTATCGATGTGGTTTTTTTCTTCGTGTTTTCTTATTATTTGTTTCGTTTTGCTGAAAAGACCTTAATGCATCTGTCATAGTGGTGTTTGGAATTTCGTTGTGATTAATATTGTCACATCGGATTAACGTTAAAATTGATTAAATCTCATCGTGGCAACGATGAGCGAAACGATTCAAGAGTAATACCGGTATTCCAATCTCACAGCCACTGTATATACCAAACAGTAGCCTCCATTTGCAAAGAAGCTCACACATAAAATACATAAACACACACAAACGACCCGCTTCATGAACTATAAAAACACCTTAAGCAATATCCTTCAACAAATTCGAGAGAGAGAGAGAGAGAGAGAGACGCTCACTTTTCGACATTAAAACATATTTTCTAAATTACATGACTTTGACTAACACTACAAAGACTACACCAAACAATGACGATGATGATGTTGATGACAAAAAGAAGAGAAACATACACACATACACCTAAAATAACTATGAATGGCAAAAAGTACAACAAGAAAAGAAGGCTGGATAATTAGTCGTATATTTGCCGTCCAGTCATAATAAATAATTAATTAACATTCAGTTATGACTATACAAATGCTCAAACTAACACATTACACACGTGAATAATAACAATTACACGTTTCTTGTGCGCCGCTAAAGCTGTAAAAACTCCCTAAAATCCATTTTCAGCAATATCCCATATAATTTTAGTTTTCGGATATCGAATTGCGAGTTTCAATCAAATTTTTTACAATCGATTAATACTTAAAGTTTTACTCTGTCTCTTCACTTGAATCGTAAAAACACCCATCAAATTGGTGTGTCATCTTCTCATCAATGAGAATTCATTTGTATGAATTGCTTCAGGTTTATTCGAACGAATCGATCAATGTGAACATCATCATTTTTGCAACGTCATTCCAATTTTTCAAGAGAAATACACTATTATTCGAGGGTTATTGCAATTCTACTTCGTCCAATGTGTTCAACTATTGTGTTCGACGCATGCATATTGATGCCTACCTAGTAAGTGAGTTGGAATTGGAACGCTCTGATTCTTGAAATCGCAAAGGATGAATATTTTCATTGCAGTTTCAGAAAAAAAAAACACAATGATCATTCCACAGAGTCATTAGCATCAGCTATGCATTGCAAAATAAATCATGTTTTGGATATATATATGTTCAACTAGACCTTTATTTTTCAATTCTCCATCTATCAAGAACATACAAACCTTTGTTTTAAATGTGTAACTTTTCGTAAATATTCAATGTAAACAAAGCATGAAAAGTGGATTGATATTTGTTTTGGAGTGCATTTTGAGATCGAAAAACATCTTTATATCACGAGACGTACTGGTGAAGTACACAGAGAAAGTTTGGGTAAATATTGAACGTATCAAAAGTCATGGGCAATTGTATAAATGAAAATAATTTGCCAAAATAACTGAAATAAAATGGTCTGGATTCGAAATGCTCGACTTGGATCCAATAAATGGAATATGATTTTACGAACAGTAAGACATTCAGTTCAAATTGGAAGGGAAAATGAGACGAGAAACAATTTAAATCATTTTCATTGTGTTTTTAGATGCAATTTATTTGCACACAGTTTTATTTTTGGACCTGGTTATGCTATTTTGATAATGTTTCTCTATTTGAATCAATATTATTTTCATTTAGGTTAGTGTTGGCTTCGAACGTCCGTTCGTTCGTTCGTCAACATAAAAAGAAACTGTTTTGTTCGTTCGTTCGTTCGTTCGTTCGTTCGGAAAGTTGAAAAAAATTATTTTGTTCGTTCGTTCGTTCGGAGATTAAGAAAAAAAATGTTGTTCGTTCGTTCGTTCGTTCGGATAATATGCTACGGTCGAACATGTTCGGATTTTATCAAACTATTCATATTACAATAATGATTTGTTTGTAACTCGTATGTAAACAAAACACCAGTAGCAATGTACAATCACCAAGCAGT